ACACACACACATGCACACACACACACACATGCACACACACACACACACACACACCAGAGTGTAAGAGAAAAATGCTGTAGAATTACAAGATGAGCTTGTATAACATTTTATAAGGGAAAAAAAGATGTTTCTGTTTGTATGAAATTTTGCAAGAAAATCTCATCAGACATCTTTATTTAAAGATGTTTCACTCAAAGTAATGCATGTTTAAAATGCATGGGGATTTTTTTTTAACTTTGGTTTGGAATAACAACTGGAATCTAACCACGTGTTATGTTGTCTGCAGACCTGTAGTACTGCATTCTCTACTTTATATCAGTGTTACTAAGCCACCATCACCAACCATAGCCTTGTGTCAGCATACATTTTTATTCTTATAAGCTATTTTGCGCCTTTTAGTCAGACTAATTTTCACTTAGGATGTCATGTTTTCCTTCATGTTAACCTCATCATATTTTGATCCTCCCTTTATTACTATGTATGTAATATTTATATACATATATATAGTACATATGCTGTCAAAATATATATGTATATATTTATATAGCATTTTTTTTACATCTTCCTTGAGTAATCTAGTTTCAAAGGGGAGTGAGAGTTTGGTCTCTACGTTTTTCTCCAAGTCCAACCCTGTAAATTCCAACCTCCAATCCTGAGCAAACCTTAAGAAGGTGATATTGATTTGCTATCCTTTATGAACCAAGGAATTCAGATTAAACATGAACAAACAATGACTTCTCAAGTGAAAAGAGTTTCAAACATTCCAGGTGAAATCTCGTTTCATAACTTTTTATTGTTAAAAGAAAAAACCTCCTAATATGAGGCTAATATTTGATACAGTGGTAAACACTAAACTACCTTGATTTTTTTTTAAAAAAAAAACCAACTTAAAAAGAATGCTCATTTTCACAATCAGAATAGCTTTAAAGTACATTTGAATTTGATACACAATAGGGAAAGTTTTGTTGAAGAACAAAACCATTTTTTCCATTTATTTTCTTAAGAGAATTGAAGGGAAATGTAGATTGTTTGTTTTACTGACAGCAAAAAAGATCAATGTGACATAATGAAGTTGTTGTAATGAAATGATGCAACTTGTCAAATATTTAATAAAGAATTATGGAAGCTGAAATCCTTTATGCTTCAAATATATGATTTCTTTGATTTCAAGTGTATTTTTTTAATGCATTGAACCAGAGGGTTTTTTAATGCCATCAGTGATGT